AATATATTTGAGTTGCTCTTTGAAGACATAGATGAGACTGCAACCTTCCAGTATTTCAAAAGCTTCCGAAGAGTACGTGTAAACTTTGCAACTCCCACACAAGCAGCTGCAGCACGTATCAAACTCCATATGACAGAGTTCCAGGGGGAAGTTATAAAATGCTACTTCACTCAGGTGAGGTGATCTGTTAAAGGTAAATTATTTCATTGATTTTTTATAGATGACTATTAAGATTATTAAGTAAATTTGAATATATCAAAACACAGATGATTATTTGTTTTAAACTTACTTGATTGTGCTATAAAGATGATGTTTTCCTTACTTTCGTCAGTATCTAGTTTTCAAAAATGTTCAGGGAAATAATTATGCGAGGACTTGTATTTACTCATACTCACAAAGCTTAAGAACTTATAAGACCATAATGAGTATTCTTGCTTCTGTTTGGATAGCCTATTGTCCTTGGGAGCAGTCGAGATGGGCCGCACTTACAACCTCCAAAACGAGAGAAGCAGTTCTTGATATCTCCACCTGCATCTCCACCAGTAGGCTGGGAACCTGTTGAAGAAGCTGAACCTGTTATCAATTATGACCTTATTGCTGCAGTAGCTAGTCTAGCTCCAGGTACAGTATATCATTTTAGTTTAATATTAGGGATATTTTTATACTTTTTACATTATTTTCTGCATACAAATGTCTTGAAATATTGACATGAAGGCATTTATTAGTTACAAGAAGATTTATTTGAATTTTTTTAGCTTGTTCATATCAGGAACATGTACTGCTTTTTTATGGCTTCACAAAAACGCTTAGTCACCTAATTAATGCATACTTTGAATTTTCATGAAAAAGTTTCTAATTCTAACAGTGTTCATTTTAGTATTTGATATTATTGATATCATTAGTAGTATTATAATGTTATAACTGTAATGATAATTATAGAACATTTTCTTTTACTCAACATATTATAGATTGAGGTAGACCTAGTAACTGAGTCCTCGGTAACTAAGAGTTTGTGAAGTCACCTTTCTTTAGGTAAAATAAAACAATAATGATCAAATAAAACCATGGTGGCAAGTGCTTGTATGCAAGCACTTGTGTTGTCATTGCATTGATAATGTAAGCATAAAGCAAGACTTGAAAGATACATAAATTTCTAGCAAAAACAAAAATAAGTATTACCTTCTTTCCTACTTAGTAATATTAACCTATTGGATCCAGATGACATGGCCATCACTTCATAAAAAAAAAATTTAGGAAAGGGCTCTTGCATTATTGTGATCGACAAATAAGAGTGGTATGTACCATCTGTGAGCCATGACTGGAAGAGCACCAACTCCAAGGAGGACACTGAGTATTACAGAAAAGCAAATGATCAGAAAATATTTTAAAAAATGACTCAGATAACAGAAAGTCACATATTGTTTTTGTACCCCAGAGAGTTGTAGACTACCTAGAGATATGATATGCAATCCACTCATGAAATGCATTCTATTACCATCTTGATACAAAAAAAAAAGATAGACAAATATAGCCCTTAGGAAATAACAATAAAACAAATAACATGCAGAAAAAGCGTTAATAACATTGCAAAGGAGAAGAAAGTTGGTCCACATGCAAGTCATGATGAAACTGGATCCAGTAGGTTAATGAACTAAAATCATGGCATGTATTTTTGTCACCGCAGCATCAGAGGATTAAAATTAATTGAATTAGCATATTTGTTATAGTTATTTATTAGCAGTGTCATAATTTCTAAATCTTATAGTGTTTAGGATAAATAGCGAATCTCTGTGGAAAGTGTGATTTTGAGTTTCCACCTCAGCATATCTGAGTTGAACTATTTTGTTTCAGGAGAGAGTCATGAACTTCATCCACCAATGGAAGACAAGCCTGGAATAATAGTTCACATTTGCGAGGAAGCAGACAACCCAGATGGTCCAAAGCCCCAGATTATCCAGACACGTCGGCCACAGTCCTCCACTTAATGCTCTGTGAATTGATAGTGTCATCTATTTTAATTTTTTTGTCACGGAGCAAGCCTTTCTAGGAATCTTTGGATGAGATCATGAGTATATGTGTGTGTTTTTGTGTACATATATAAATCAAGATATGATGGTAAAAATGACATACACATGATGTCTGTGTATGCATACAGGCACACATGCATCTGTCTTAATCATAAGAGCCTAATTTTATTAAAAACATTGGAAAGGGATAGCACATAGCCACTAGAGTCTTTTTAGCTTAGGCCCACTGGTATCCCAAAAAATAAAGTTACTTATCTATCTGTCTGTCTATATATATTTGTTTGTGTATATATATATATGTACACACACACACACACACACACACACACACACACACACACACACACACACACACACACACACACACACACACAACACACACACACCACACACACACGCACACACACACGCACAACACACACACACACACACACACCACACACACACACACACACACACACACACACACACACACACACACACACACACACACACACACACACACTCTCTCTCTCTCTCTCACACACACTCTCTCTCACACTCACACTCACACTCACACTCACACTCACACTCACACACACACACAGCTGGAGTGAGAGCCAGAGTGCAGGAGTGAGAGCCATAGAGCTAGAGTGAGAGCCAGAGAGCTGGAGAGAGAGCCAGAGAGAGAGAGAGAGAGAGGTTGGGGGTCTATATGGGATATATGTGTATAAAGATGAGTACATATATACATACATGGTACATATATCCACTCAAGAGTCTGTCTGAGCACAGACTGTTGCTTGACATTTCTGGAATTCCTTTGTGGTTTGTTGAACCAGCCATAAACTTGATGTGACCCTAATCACTAGTAGGAATATGTAAACTTGATGTGTTTGGTATTTTCCTGCCCAGCCTGTGGAGCAAGTTGTCTTACAGCAGCCTATCACTGGCTTTCATGTGATGATTTTTATAGCAAGTGAATCCATGTGTAGTAGTATAGTTCTGGTGATTAAGGTTTCTTTGAATTTTTTTTTCATGTTTCTTATTATTTTAGGCATGATTAATGATATGACTAGGTGTGACTTTCAGGGAACAGTTTTCAGTATCAGCACCTGAATTGCTCAGTTAGATAACCTGGTTTTACCCCTTCAACTTGGGCCGGTCATAAGTAATTGTTCTTAGATAGAATTGTGGACAGGGCTGGATTAAGGTCTTGGCCAGGCAGGCATCCTAACAGATCCCAATCCCAAGGGTAGATTCCCTAAATGCAGTCTCAGAAACATAGATACAATTTATTGTAAATTTCACACATTACATTATTAAGCATTCTTCTTATCTTCTAGACTATTTAGGAGTTCCTGTCATCCATGGATGCTCCACCCCCCACCCCCACCCCCCACCCCCACCCCCCACACACACACACACATACTGAAGTATTAGGAACAACTTGCAACCCTGCGAACTCTTAATCTGGCCCTGCTTATGGAGTATGTGAAAAGTGATAGTGATAGAATACAGTCATTTTAAGGTGAAAGAAAAGTTATCACTGACTATTCTTGAAAATGGAGTAATGAAAATAGACATCAGATTTTGCTTGATATTAACAAAGGTCTACTGACATCAATGGTATTTAACAACATGAAAAGGAAATCAAATATCATAGTATGGCAATACCAATTAATAGCTTACATTATTACACCTTAGCTTGACTTAATCTTTAAACTCTACCTTCAGGGGATGATCTTGCAAGACTTCCAGAGACTGTCCCTCATTTTTCCACACTTTCTTTTTTTTTAATATCTTATAAAAGTATATTCTGCAAGGTATCCTGCTGTCATGAATGTACATCTTTTGACACCTAATTTAATGTTTATGTAACTGCATGTCTTGCATTTTGAAATTATCATTTCATTTATGTATTTACCTCTGAACTTTGTTCAGATCTGAAGACTCTTCCAACAAGGGAACATCAGCCCTAAAATTAGCAACAAATATTACCATTTTTGCAGATTAATATTGTGTAGTCTTATGAAATTTATGATATGAATACTGCATGATTTGCAGCTGTCATTTTTCTTCCTTTTTCTTCTTCTTTGATGGTTGCCCTTCCAAAGAAAAATCTCAGTCAGATTAAAAAATAGTGCTGCTCTTTGCTAATTTTTCTTTCTGCCTCTTCACCCCTCCAAATATCATATTGGGGGGAGGGGGGGGGGAATCTACAGAAGTAGCCATTAATCTTAATTTGTTTACATAATTGACAATATAATGATCTTTGCTTCATCATATATTTTAGGACTGATAGAACATTTATAGGCACATCAGCAGCTATAATCAAGAACATGATATATGCTTTTGAAAACCACATGATCAACAAGTGAACAAATTTTGGTAAAATTTTATGAAGTTAAATATAAGTGCAATAACAGTGATGTTAGCCTATTGGCAGTAAGTACATATATTGTCCACAGCATATATATATATATATTTTTTTTTGTGTGTGTGTGTGTGTGTGTGTGAAATTTGTTGCATGCAGATGGCTCTGCCACCAAGGAGTCAATACGATGGCCCTACGTGACTGTACTTGATTTCGTCAATCAATCTTGAATTTTTTTTTTTTTTTCTAGTGGAATTTATATCAATACTATTATTATTATTATTATTATTATTATTATTATTATTATTATTATTATTATTATTATTATTATTATTATTATTATTATTATTATTGTTATTGTTATTGTTATTATTATTATTGATGTTATAAATATTGTAATAGTATTAAAATGCTAATAAACATATACTTATTATTATTATTATTATTATTACAGAAAAAAAAAAAAGGGTAAGCAGGTTAGATAGGTAGGACTAATCATTGACTACTTGGTGACTAAGCATTTGTCAACTGTGTAAACACAGATTAGACCAGTTTGATTCCGTACCTGAAAGTAAAGGATATGCTGTAAAATTAATGATAATTGATAATGATAGTAATAATGCTAGCAATAGTAATACTTATGAATTAATTAAGTAATACTAACATTGCTAATAATGATGTTAACAATAATAATTATTTATTAAAACTGGATATGAAATGGAAAAATTGTTGTAGAAGTGGCATGCCGTACTCTTCAATTTACATATATTTTTTTTTCTGTCGAAGAGGTGGTTGATTCTGTAGAGGCACATGCAAGTTATGAACATTCACACAGTCAGATTTAGAAGTGCACCTTTATTTCTAATCTTGAGGTAGCAGTAGAAATGAGGACAGTTTTTTCCTTTTTTTCTCACAAAGAATATGGCAATGATAAATTTATTGTCCAAGAGTTAACAATGTCAGACATACCTGAAGCTGTCCATAACATTATTGACATGCCTATTCTACTTTTAAGTTTTCTTTCTGGTAATGAAACTGGTAGTACCTTTTGATATCAAGCTATGCCCATGTGAATTTTGTGCTTGCTTCTACTTATAATTGTAGTAACAGTTCTATTTACTTTTGTAAGTTATATTTTTCTCTCGTGTTGAGCCTTAAAAATACTTCTAACAGTAAAAATATGCACATACACAGACAGAGAAAGGGAGAGAAAGAGAGTGAGAGAAAGAAAGTGTGTCATCCTTAACTAAGACAGCCAGACTCTAACAGCATATTGATTATATTTTGTTTAGTTTTTGTCTGATATCAGACTAAAGAGTGTGTTACAAGAATTCACTGCCTAATCATACATAATGTCAGTCTTTGTCGGGCCTTTCCTCAGTCTATGCAACAATAACACATTTTCTTAGGTAAGTCAAAGAAAAAGAATTAAGAGGAATAGGTCTACATTAATATCTGGTTTCAGGATCTTGGCATGGCTATTCAGACAAGCAAGAGCCAGATACGGTTTTTATGTTTTGCAGCTTATTAACTTAATCAAGTCATCAATTAATGTGGGTAATGGGTAGATAAATACATGTATTTTATTGGAAATCATCAACTTGTAACTTTTCAGACATTTTGGCACAGTGTGATATTCACATGTACCCAGTTATTTAGATGAAGATTGTGTGCTGGCATATTGAATACAGTGTGTTTCTTCCATAGAAGTTAAGCATATAAATATACCCAATTCACAAACTCAGTGGTTGAACAAAGTTACTCTGAACAAAGTGAATTAAGTATGCTCCCAATCAGACATACAGATCCCCAGTCATTTACCACTATTATTCTCAAAAGAACAACAACAAAAAACATATATATGCACCCATGTTTATACCATATTTGCCAGTATTTTAGTGGAAATGATATTACATTACTTCATACATTTATCAGAATTTATTTTATGGTGATTTTTCAGGGAACAATATTATTATATTTTCTAAATACAGATATATACAAATACATATAGCAAACTAGTCACAAAAATATATCTACTTAAACTGCTGAAAACTAGGATATGGGAAATATTACTAGTATATCAAAACAGCTGTGTGGTGTGTGGCTTATTCATTTAACCTATCAGTAGGGAATAGAATCAAGCATCTCTGCTCTGATATTTTGTATTCCTACTCTGGCCCACAGCACCATTATTATTATTATTGTTTTAGTGTTGTCTTCTAAATGTAAAAGTTGAATGGGAGTTGACATTTCATCATATACCTATTTTTCTCTTCCCTTTGATTCATTTCTCATTTACATATTGTACAGCTGTAAATATGTTTAGCACCATTTATTGTAGGCTGGCAAATATGGTATTTTCTTTTTATGAAAGTATCATTATATCTTTGTACTTTAATTTCCAATTCTGACTACCAATACTCCATAATAACTGTCAGGAAATGACTATAGTTTTGGTTGAGCACAGAGCCATACATTTTGAATTTCCATTTATATGCTTTTCTAAATATACCTGAATTAAAGACTTGACATGATGTAAACAATATTTTTTGAGATGGTATCAGAATTATTGTTTAGTTATTGGTTATGAAGGAAATGTGAACATTAGAGGCCTTGATTTTTACAAAAACTAAGATAAAAATACACATTAGATATGGATCATATATCTTTGTACCATTTTTTGAGTAATGTGTATATGGCCATCAGGGTTGAAATTTGAACATGGGGTAATAGATGATATACATTTATTTTTCCACTGGTCTCAAATAGTGTTTGTCGTATTCATAATGTGATGTGTTAATGAGATACTACAGTGATGAGGCAAAATCTCTGGAGATGTTTGTCATAAGATCCTCCTTTTCACCCATGTATATTGAATATTATGTCTCTACCATTGATTTAATCAGTGCTTCTGCAATTTGTAGTGTACAAGTGATATGATGATGGTAATTGATTTTTTTAACTGGTTCACTTTTTATGTATTCATTGTACAAGAAAGATGAATTGTAGTAT